TCCTTAAATTACTGTTATCCTATCCTATAGTTTAGGCAACTAAGGCTAAGTCTATTGTCCAAGGTAACACAACATTAATTCTACAATTTTCGTGTACTCACAGAAATAGAATTGGGGATGGTAAACTCATCATGGTAATGTAGACACTGTTCATTATTTCAGAATTATCCTTGAGCAACTATTGCCACATCTGTACCATCTCATATCATCTCTCTCTCTCTCTCTGACACACACACACATCTCTCTTGCTCGCTCTCTTTTGTTTCTCTCTCCTTTCTCTCATCTCTCTCTCTCTCTCTCTTGCTCTCTTTTGTCTCTCTCTCTCTCTCCTCACTCTCTTTCTGTCTATCTCTCTCTCTCTTGAAAAAAATCACAGGGTCTGTCCTAGCTTTTCTACTTTCTGAAGATTTGCCAGGCTAGCATGATTTAAAAAATATTTTTGCTTTCCAATTAAGAAAACAAAAATAAGCCGGGCTTGGTGGCTCAGCCTGTAATCCCGCGCCTTTGGGGGGCTGAGGTGAGTGGATTGCTTGAGCCCGCAGGTTCGAGACCCCTGTGGGCAACTTGGCCAGACCTCATCTCTATAATAAATCAAAAATTAGCCGGGCGTGGTAGCGCGCGCCTGTAGCTCCAGCTACTTGGAAGGCTGAGGCGGAAGGATTGCCGGAGCCCAGCGGGTAGAGGCTCGGTGGCCAGGAGCGGCCATTGCTCTCCAGTCTGGGCGACAGAGTGAGACTCCAAATCAAAAAAAAAAAAAAAGAAAACAAAAATAAATTAACTGGGTGTGTATTGGGTTAGTTTTTGTTCAAAACACTTTTTCATGAGGAATATGCTTAGGCCAGCCTAGAGAATAAAAGAGAGAAGTAAAAGCTGACATAATGTAACTAAGTAAGCTTCATTTCTACTAATATCACTATAGTAGTTTATATGGTCTAAAGTTAGTGACTTGAGTTTTTTTTAATGGCATGATTTTACTATAAAAGCCACTTACTTTCGCCCCAAACTCTGGACTTTTGTTGTTTAGTTTTTTATTGTTTATATTTCATGGCATCTCATGGTATCTTCACAGTACTTATAGCATGAACCATCCCCTAGGCATTTCAAATCTGGCAGCCACACTGTAATTCCATTATTTAACACCTAGAATATCTTCAGACTTTAAAGATAAACTAAATATCATCATTGTCCAGACCAATTTATGGGATGAAGATTTTGTGTTGTTTGGGCATAGGAAGTATATAAATAATCTGCATGTTTCTTTTAGCCCTACAACTATCAGGAAATAGATTCAGCCTACAACCTGAATGAGTTTAGAAGAAGATTATATCCCAGATTTTTTAGTAATGAATGTAACCCTGCCAACTCTTGATTTTAGCCCAGTAAAGCCTGTGTCAGACTCCTAACCTACAAAACTATGAGATAACACATTTCTATTGTTTTAAGCCAGTAAATCTGTGGTTATTTTTTTATGGCAGCAGTATAAATATAATATTACTAATGAACTAGACTTTCTTATTCTAACCTCCCCAACTCTTAGTCTCTATAATAGTCTCCATCTTCTTATTTATTTTTGCTGCTTTCTGAATAACGTGTTTGTATTTATCTTTCATTTCATCAATTCTCTTACAGGTGTGTGCTTAACCTCATTGATGAAAGATACCAAACTCAGTAAAATATTTTAAAATGTTTATTCTGAGTCAAATGTGAGTGACCCAGGCCTGCTGAACAGCCTCAAACGTTCCTGAGAATATGTGCCCACAATGGTTGGCTGAATTAGAGCTTGACTTAATACATTTTTAGGGAGTCAGAAGTTATGGACAAACCATAAATCAATTCATGTAGAAATTCACATAGGCCAACCCCAGGAAGGTGGGACATCTCCAAGCAGGGTACTTGCAGGTCATAAGTGGATTTTAAAAGTTTTCTGATTGACCATTGGTAGAAAGTATTGTTAAGCTCCGTCTAAATAATGTAGGTATTAGTAAAAGAAAAGTTGATTTATGATAATGAGGGTTGGAGAAGCCAAGGCTCATGATATGAAGATTAAATCTCTAAATAGCAGCCTTCAGGCAGAATAAGTAATACATGTTTCAAAAGGTGCCTAGATTCTGGGATTCCCTAAGAAGGGGATTCTAGACAGATGCAAGTTTCCCTGAGATGATTTCGTAGGGTCATAAAATATATTTGGTTTTTAAAACTTTATTTGTAATGTGATATTATGTGAGAGTCAGGTTGGAAAATAAGCCATATTATATAGAGGTAATAAAAACCCATCTGAGGTGGCTTGGTAGGGCATGTCTCCAGATCCCTTTGTTAGAAATTTGATAAGAGAAATAATAAGGTCAGAATTTAGCCCTTAACCTGTTCTTTGAATTTTTATTTTTATTTCAGTGATTGAAGTTTGTATTTTCATAAGTGCTAGTTTTTAAAAAAAACCTGTTTTAAAGTGAATGCCTTATAATGCTCACAGATCATCTGTATTTTTTATCAGAATATTCCAGTATCTGAAATTCCTTCTGTCTCTAAACTTCTTATTTCTGGTGACTTCCACTCAAGTGTGCTTACTTTCTACTGTGTTTTAGTGTTTGTATGTGAATATGCATCTTGATATTCAGTGGACTTAACTAGGAAAACTTTCCACCAGAGTGTTGTTTGCTTTTATTTCTGCCAACAAGCAAGTAACATATGACCATTTAGATTCAGTATCTCTCAAGACTTTTGGCTTAGAAGCAAGCATCTTGCTGAGTTTCACTATCTCTCAACGTTCCACTGTAGGGATTGGACTCTGAAAAGTCCAATCGGGCTCTCACGCTTCATGTCTCCCTACCAATCCAGGCAAGCTCACTCTTGCCCCAGCCTGTCTCCTCACTCTGTAACGTGTCTCCTGGTAACCCCAAATACCAGGTGTCCCCTCCCCCATTTTCCAGTTCCAGTGTCCCTGTCACTCAGACCCAGCTTTTGTCCTTTAGCAATTCCTCAAAGATTGTAATGTACTAGAGAATCTTTCTATTATCAGTTACAGAGGTAAATCCCCCAGACAGAGATTTTCAACTGAAGGTGCAACTGCCTTAAAGCATTATAAATATACAGCAACCCAAGCCTCACTCTTTGAAATTTTAGTAGTCTTCTGGAGTGACTCAGTATTTTTAAATAGTTGTATTATCAGGATTAACATGGATCAAAGATTTATTTCAAGATGTAGCAAACATGAAACACTCAATATGGTTATCTCAGGAAGATAAAATGTGACCAGTGTACTCAAGAAGCAACAGTGGGTCACAATTATCATTTGTTACTTACAGTTTGAATTCCACATTCACAGTGATTGTCATAATCCTTAATTTGGATCAAGTTTCTCAAAATTTATTTCCCACTGTTTCTAAGTAAAACGTTCTGCTCCAGTCAAAAGTCTTTACGTCCCTTCCTTAATTTACATTATTTCCACTTCTTGATTTTGTTCCTATTATTGTCAGTGTCTGAATTACCCTGGTTTCTCAACAGATACATAGCTGTGGTCTTTGCACTTAAGTAATCCAATCACTCTTCTTACGTTCCCTGGCCATGTTATCTTGGGCAAGACTTATTTTCTGGAAGTCACAATTTCATCTGCCTTTCTGGGATGCAAATTCCATTTTATTAGTGTTGTCAGGCTGGCTGAACAATCGAGTACAGAAGCTGGAACAAGCTATTAGCAAACCATTAACTTCTTTCAGTACTTGTCTAAACACCTTCATCCTATAGGTTGTGGAAGTATTTCCTGTTGCCTCTGTGAAATATTTCTGTTTGCTTGGAAGCATATTAAATTATCCCATTTATAGCCCTTTTAGTCTGTAACACTCCTGTATTATCACTTAATTTTTTCCTATGCTTATTCCTTATCTGTCCCAAATAAACTCCTTAAGGGCAGACACTGAAACCTATCTCACCTGCTGATGTTCTACATACATTCAGTCATAGTACTAGGATTTGGAGCAAACAACACATCACACAGAGTGCCCAAGAATGAGTGAGGAGGTCCTTGTGTCAGGCAACCATCTAAACCCTAGAGAATTAGTACTCTTCATAAAATGGAGACATATTTTGTCATGTTTGACACAAGAAGTATGTACTTCATAAAGAATAATAAGTCACTAGGATAATTTCTTCTTTAAGATTATTGCTGATGTAACAACATTCACTTTTATTTTTGGCCGGGAAATGATTTTATACACATTATACTAAATGATCACAGTAAACATAGTAATAGGAATGATACAGAGGCAATAACAGTATAAATAAGAAAACCGAGGCTTAAACAGTTTAACTCACTCAACATCTCATATAACTCATGTTGTATATTCAAATGGATGATTTGACTTCAAATCTGGGAAGAGGGGACAGTCTATGGAAAAGGAAAATCTTACTTTTGACTAATTGTCCCACTAACGTATGTTCAGTAAACTTGTTCCAGAATGTTTATACCCAAGAGTAGACCAAGGAGAAATGATAGATGAATAGTTGGGCCGCCTCAAAGAGTTACAGATGACTTAAATAGACCTAGCAATTAGGGACCTTTTTCCTCCCTATCATATTTACTCTCTAATTCCACACTTTTATATATAATGGCAAATATGAATTGTCAGCAGCAAATAACATTCAAGAAATCTGATATGAGCCCCCATCTAAATTTTTAGGTCTCTACGTGTCATTGAAAGCACTACCTCTTATTTAGCATGTCATTAATTTATTTTTGGTTAGTATACCTGACTTTAAATTATATTCTGAAGTCAAGTCCCTATTCAAAGAGGATTTTAGATAATTGAATTGTAGTTATTATAAGAGCTCTTGCCCTTACTGAAGCCTTACCAGATTCACAGAGGCTTTAGTAGTCTTCAGAAAAACAAGAAGAGAAAATCTTTCCCTTTCCCTGAAAACATTATCATTGACATTTTTTGCTGAAATCCATCATTAGACTGTCATATCTAAGAGTTCTCTGGTTGGCTTCAAGAGAGCTAGGACCAATGACTGAGTTTGAGAATCCTGTTATCTACTGTGTTGCTTTCTACAGGTATAACTTGGACCTGAACTGTAGTGAGGCACCATCTCATGGTACTTCCTTGGACCATGTGTTTTACTGGCTGGTTGGAAACTCAAACACCCCTCTTTTCTCCCAATCCATGAGAAGGAAACTATTGTGAGAATAATATTCTTTTCTGTGATTTCCACAGTGAAGTTCCCATTCTTTTTTGCCTTGTCCTCTTCTTGCTCTAGATCCGAGTCTCTTTCTGGCCATCTCTAATTTCTAGTCTTCTATATATATTCCCAAAGGCCACAGAACCCAGTGCCTACTATGAACTTGTTTGGAAAAGTGAGAGGGAAAGAAAAGACTACTTTAAAAAACCCATAGATTAAAATTTCCAAAATATTCTACTACACACTGCCAGGACTGAAGATTCTATTCTTGAGAAAATAATTCTTTTCCACCACAGAGAGCATATCAGTGACTGCAGGTCACATGTGAACCACAGACAAACTTTGTCTTATCTGTGTAGTATCTCAGAACAACGGCAAACCTATTGAAAAATATTTCTCTGAGAGGTACAGTACACATAAAATGAAAACGTAAGCTCGATCTTCATTCTCATAGGCAAAACTATTTGGTTCTGAGAAGCCCTGTTCCTTCAGAGAGGACCATGTCTACCACAGGCCTTTACATTCCAATTTGCCTCACTCGGTGTATTCCTGGGCTTGTGAGCACTTAAACTGTGTCACCAAGCCCAGATTTTAAATGTATATCACATTAGGTCATACATATAAGCTAATACAAATATATTAGCGAAAAATACAATTACTGAAATTTACTGAGAATATTTTACTTTTCATTGCTAAAATTCTCTTCATATGAAGTATTTTGCATGCATTGAATGAATTCAGGTTTCTCTCTCACTATAAATAAAACTTCAAATAGGGAAGAAATTTTTGTCTGTTTTGGTCATTATTGCTATATCTCTAATATAATTTGTCTGGCACATATAATTGGTCCTCAGTAAATAACTGTTGGATATTTGTGTTGAATTAATTAATGAAACAAATAGGAATTGTTACACAACAATAGTTATTGAGGGATTATTTTGTGGAAGATACTATTTTAACAAATTGTATTGATTTGTTAAATACTCATAATAACACTACAAGGTGGGAATAATTATCAGACTTGTTTGGCAGTTGAGAAACTGAGACATAGTTGAGTTTCTTGCCTGAAAATAGTTGGTAAAATATTCACTCAACCATCCTGGCTTCAGTGTGTGTTCTCTTAATCTCTGTGATGCAGTGTGTTTTAAATCAAAGGCAGCTGAAAAGAAAGAGCCTTAAATAAGAAAGCGTTTTCATTCCAAAAAGCAAAAATATTTCACAGGGGCACACAGTATTCCTGTGTCTGAAAACAGCCCAAAGACTGGGTGAAAGCAATGAGTTAAGATGTCTTAGTCCATCTCACACCCATTATATTGGGTAGTATCAAAATAATAGGAAAAAATATAACATGTTTTGACAAGGATCAGAAAAAATGGGTACCCATGCGCTTTGTATGTGGGAATGTAAAATGGTGCACTTGCCATGAAAAACAGTATGATGACTACACATACACAAACACACACACAAATAAAATAGAATGACTCTATGATTTGGCAATTCTACTTCTGGGTATATAGCCAAAATAAATAAGAGCAGAGTCTGAAAGACTTATTTGTACATGTACATTCGTAGCAGCGTTAGCCACAAAACAAAAAGATGGAAAAAAAAAACATTTGTTCATTCACAGGTGAATTGTTAAAGAAAATGTGTTACATACATAGAATGAAATATTATTCAGACTTAAAAAGGAAGAAAACTTGCGACCCATGCTACAACATGAATAAACCTTGAGGACATCATGCTAAGTGAAATAAATCATTCACCAAAGAGGAATGCTATTTAATTTCACTTACATAAGGCACCTCGAAAATCAAATTCATAGAGACAGAATGTAGAATGGTGATTGCCAGGGCTCAATGGAAGGGGAAAATGAGAAGTTATGGTTTCATGGGTACAGAGTTTTGAGTTTCCAGGAAAAGACTTGTGGAGATGGATGGTGGCGATGGCTGCACTACAATGTGAATGCATTTAATACCACTTGCACTGGGTCCTGAAAAAATGGCTAAGGTGGTAAATTACACATAATGTGTAATTTTAACCGCAATTTTTAAAAGAGGGAGTCTTAGAATTTGAGTTGAGTGGCAAAACTGTCCCATATTCTGATTTCACTTTCAATTTAAACCTCAAAGAATTAAATGCTCTTTATCGCATGTTTTTTAACTCTACTATGCCCTCTCATGTCTTTCTTATTCCCATTTCTCACACCCTAAGAAATGGTGAAGCAAATATCTTCTGGGGAGAATTTCTGCTACGATCTGAGGTTCAGTGACCTGAATAGGTCTTGGGAAATGACAACAGTATTAAGAGCTTCTTAGAAAATAATAATTATAAGCACATATATGTAGGTGTAATCATTATTTCTTAGTCTGTGCAAATGCCCTTATTTACAAAAGAAGGCTGCATCACCTGCTGTTACAATTGCATACTGTATACCAGTATGTGAATCCAGGGCTCGTGAGTCTTTCCTATCCTGAGAAGAGAGGTCCTTAAAAGAAACTATTTTAGGAAAAGACTTTCTCTCTTATTAGGCTTGGTGAAGATTTACACAAGCAGCCTTGAAGTGGAAAGAAGAAGGACAGGAAAGATGAAGGAGAGAAGATCAGCCACACTTTCACAAAATTTTTGAAGTCAAAGAAAATGCCAGAAAGTGTCTGGGATTCTACTGGTGTCTGTTATAATTTTGTTAGTCTTATTAGAATTTAAATAATTTTGAGTTAGCTGAAGATGAGAAAAATCACTGGAAGGGAATCAGCAGCTGATGTTTTCAATGCACACAGTCTGTCAACACCCTTTAGAGTTTAAAAAATTGGTGCAGGTAAGAGCAGAACAGCTTCTGATTTTCAGAAGATTGGCAAAATAATAATAATAATAACAAAATTAAGTCTCCTAGGCCCCACAGGGAACACATGTGGGCAACACTAGGATCAGAAAGAATTATATCAGATACATGCAAAGCATCAGATAATTCCTTGAGATTACTGTACTGAGGGAGAGGAAAGTTTGGCTGGGGAATACTGAAATGATTGTTTCTCTTTTAGTAAGTTGAGAGGGAAATTGTACTATGTTCAGTATTTGACAAATATCTGTGCTTCCAACAAATGAATGTCTAAAAAAAGAAAGAGAGAGAGAGAAGGCTGTTTATCCATTCAGTGGGTGTGGGTACAATAAATGTCTTTTTGGATGACCTGTTTGAGGAGAATGTGATTAGTCAGGAAGACATGAACAAAGTGAGAGATGAAAGTACTACAGTCGTGGATAAGCCTCGAGTCTTGATTGACTTTGTCATTGGAAAAGGAGTAGAAGTTTGTTGCAAATCTACCCATTATCTCCATAGTGAAGACCATGAACTTGCATGGAAGTTGGTTGGGCTAAGGTAAGTTGAACTCAACCTAATATCCAAATAGTCTTTGCATCTTAAGCCTCGTTATGGGTGTCTTCATTTATTCTAGGACCTGCTTCATCTCTACTCCTTTATATCCCTTGTACGTTTGCTCTCAGTACTCTCTGCTGCACATTTCCAGCTCTGTGTATGTAGAAGATCATTATTGTAGTTCATTTGAAGAGTGCAGGTGTTTGCACTATGACTGTTTTGATGTCCCTGGGGAACAATGCACACTACTTCTTCTGGAGTCTGAGAAGCCTGTGTACTTATTGGAAGAGAGAATATAAGGTCTTTTTGTACCTGTCTCTCTGCTCTTTCCCCATCTCCTTATTGGTTGTTTTTCAGAATACATCGTGATGAGGGAATAGCAAGGGAGCAAAATAAATATGCATATAAAATTAAGTGTACACTAGATACTTACATTTGCATTAAATTATACGTGACTTCTCTTTGCTAGTCAACTCCTTAGCTTGTTTTTGTGTGTAATATTGTCTACATGCATGGAGCCAGTCTGCAGGTCATTCTCTGTGGCCTGTCCCACTCTATTTCCAGTCTTCCCGAGCAGCAGATCCAGGTTCTAGTATCTGAGCTAACTCATTTCTCTAACCCTTTTCTCCCTCCACAGAAGAAAGAACTCTGGTGCACCACCGATACTCTTCAGAGCTGCTTTAGAGGAAGAAGATGTTCTTTAAAAAAAAAAAAAAAAAAACCAGCCAACAGCCAAAAAGCTACTTTTGCCGAATTAATATAATCGGGACCATCTATTCCTAATAAATCTCTCACTCTCTTACATTGCTTGTTTCTTGTTTTTTCCTTCCCCATCCCAAACAAGGATTATCTGTCAGAAATAATGAAAGCCATGATGATTATAATGTAATTGAGGAAGTCTCTCCTCTTCTGCTTTGTTTTGTTTCATTCCCTTGCTTGTAGATACATATATAGCCCACTTGAATGTTATCAGCACCGAGGTCCCCTGTCATGGAAAACAAATGAAAACCTTACTCAGCATTTTAAAGAGCATTGTTTCTCTCTAATGCTCTCATCTGTTTTTTAAGAGCCAGGACAACGGCCAATTAACCAGTGTTGACAAACGAGTCTTCCATATTGGAAAAGCAATGGGGAAAACCCATGATGAGATCGTTTATTGCCAGAAATCAAGTTTCCTCAAAAAAAAAGAGAGAAAAAGAAGTTCATGAAAGCACTGATGGTAAACATGGACCTTGAAGTCTAAGTGGGCAGAGTGCAAGAAGATATGGCTTCTCCCTGTCTGAGGAATAAAGATTTGTGGATTTGTGGAGTCAATGAAGTATGATGATATGTCATGGCTCTGTACTCTTCCGTGCAGGAAAATGGCCATTCATTCTGCTTAGGCTGTCTTTTCTTTGAGTATATAGTATTAAATAATGAAGTATTATCTTCTAGAAGCCGCAGGAAAGCTTTTAATCTGTTAGTTCATGCCAATTTCTAAAATTTCTGGCATTGGTTTTAGCAAAGGATTAAGTGCCAGGAACTAAGACTGAAACATTTACTGGATTTTCCAGGTTTGTGCCCTTTGGATGAGATCTTTAGAAAGCTAAAATAAAACAATGTAGTTCCTTTCCTTTTGAAATTTGTCAATCATAACTTGTGAGGGAAAAAAGTCATTGTAGGTTAACACCAAATATAGTGAATGAAGATTTTTCAATGTTTTCTTTTATAGAAGAGGTGCATGCCACAGACAGGATGCTTTTATTTGTCTGAGATACCTGAGATTGAGGTCAGGGCTCTTTTCATATGTAATCAGATGGTGTCTTTGAGAAAACACATTTTGAGAAATCACACTTTGAGGATGATTTGGCAGTATGCTCACTGCTCAAAGGCACAGGTTTGAGGTCAAGACAAGTCTGTCATATGCTTGATGGTCATTTGAAAAGTATCTTAACCTTTTCGAGACATTATTTCCTTATACATAAAAAGGAATTAAAAACACCATCCACACAGAGTCCTTGAAAGAACCTAAATGACCTTGTAAAGGGTTAAGCCTATTGCCTGCCAAAAAGTGAGCAAGCAACTAATTCTGCCTGTTAGTGTCATCATTTTATTGCTACTTTTATTCATAGAGATGCAGAATCATGATACTGGGTAAAGGATAGACATTCCAGGGAATAATAATCATAACTCACATTATAGAAATTATGAATAATTTTTCTTTAACTTCATGTAAAGTACAACACTTATAAATAATCAAATCTAGTGGTAAAAATCTGTCCAGCCCTATAATTTTTATGAGGATTACAGTGACTCACAATTCAGAGAAGCTGATAGAGCTAATAAGAGGCTCTGCTCTGGGCCTTTGCAATTCCTGCTGGACAGCAACAGCCAAACAGCAGTGATGTCTGTGAAAGGAAGGATGTAAAGTAGCTCATCCAGGATCTCCCTTTCCTACCTAGCCTGACTTGACCCCTCCAACCTAGAAGTAGCTCAACACAGTCTTGTCAATCGACCCTAATGAACATACATCTAAGTCAAATCGTAGAATTTAAGAAAACAGGATTCAAAACAATTCCTTCAGTGCTCCAGATTCCCACCTTCTTCAATCAGTTGATCATCTACAACGCCCTCTGACAACAGTATTTTGAAGCCACCAATGTTGTAGCCAGACATTCTTTGAGACGCATATCATACCTCCACTTAAAGTATAACAATTGCTTTCACATGTTGAGACTAGTGAATATGTATGTCATATTTATAACTATGTAGAGCCCCAAGCAACAGAGAATATGACTCATAAGAGACATATTATTCACTTTTTATTGGTTATAAACTATTTATCTATTACCTACTTATTAGTAGTTGTTGAATGCATAATTGAGCTAATTATCTTGTCAAAAGCAGTAAGTTTGTATTTATCCAATTGACAAACACTGTTGGCCTTTAACATAGCCCACAAGGATTCCTCTTTGTGGCCTGCTTACCTATCAAACCTTCTCATAGAGCTAAGTAACCCTTTTGCCAAGTCCTTTAGTCACAGTTTTTCTTCATTTTTATTTCTGTTCTTCCCCCATCACACTTTGTCTCCTCTTATCAGAATGTTCTTCTCTTCAAGTCAACCTTTTATAATTCAGTCACATGTCACTGTTCAATGAAAGCATTCACTGACACTGACTCACTTACATTTTTCTGATAATCAGCTCTCCTAATAACATCTAGCTCTTAAAGGGGGAACTTTACTGGGTGCTAGTACTTAGTATCCCCTCATTTAATCATCACATCAGCTTTATCAAGTAACTTCAGTTACTATTCCCACTTTTCAGAGGTGGCGTGGCCAAGCCTACAGGACTAATCAGAGAAAGCTAAGAGTCTAATGCTTGTGTTCTTAAAACAGCAATACACATCATAAATAGCATTACTTACCTCCTAATCATAGCACCTATCACAGGTTGGAGAAGGTTCTAATTTTTAAAAAATTGATATGGTTATATATATAATATTTCTATTCTAAACCAGAAATATATCTCCATGAGGACATTGGGCATTATGTTAATTTTTGTTGACTGTTTTAATCTCAGTGACAAGCATAGTACCTGGCATATCATAGAAAGCTTAATACATACTTTTTGAATTTTTTAAATATTTTAAAATATTTGGGGGAAATTGTACTGATGTTCACAAATATCTAAGATTCTGATAGGAAGGAGACATTTCTATCAACAGTCTTTTTTCCAAAAACAGAGGAAAAGACTTTGTGAATTACATCATTTCTATGATTCTTGACCTGTAAAATCTCTAATCTCTCCCCAGAATAATTTTGCTCATTTACCTTAGGTTTTGTGCTGGAGCTTTGTGAGCTATGGTTGGGTGAAAGCAAGACACACAGATATTTGTTTCTGGAATAAATCTTAGCAAGACTGAGTTCTCAATGGAGATGTAGTCAGCTCCAACCTGGACATCTTCATGTTGAGAATAATGTGGTGAGTCTTGGAGCCCTGTAGACATACTCATTTCAAGAGACAAGTTCCATTTTAAGACCTCCATCAGCAAATCCCACTGTTTCCAGATAGTCACACCGTGAAATGGATGATCAGCTGGCTTACCAAAGAAATTGTGGGTTACAGATGCCAAATGTATTTGAGAAAATCATCTTATAGATTGACAAGCAATTGTTTTCATAGCATTTATCTTCCCTCAGAATCCCAATTCTAGAAATGATGATCATACACAAGGCTTCCCAGCAGCAGCTGCTCCATTGTCAGTAATGAATACTGTTTTCAAAGCAAATGTACCCTTTGGAGCCCTTCGTCTTTGGTATTCACCATGGATACATATTGCTAATTGACTGTGAGAGGACAATAGAGATTGCTCAGGTATTGATTCTAAGCCTTACTCAGACATGATCTCTTTGAACTGACCCATCCATTTCCATGGCTGATGTTTGTCTGTAGACTATCTTTTCCTACCTCAAATTCTCAAATCCACACCTCTCTGCTTAGTTCCCAGCATATCTCTTTAGTTACCTATTGGACATTTTTAATCACCTCAAATCACTCATGCCTGAAGCTAAACTCATCATCTTCCTCCAAACCTGTTTCTCTTCCAATTTACCCTGTCTCCATATGGCACCACCGTCTTCTCAACATTTCAAATAAAAGCTTTCAATTAATTCTGAACTTCTCTTTCTCTTGAATCCCCATCATCCAAGCAGGACAACTTTTCTTACTCTTTAATCCCATCGATACTTATTTTTTTCATCCCACAAGCACCACCGTATTTTAGATTGCTTGCATCCGCACTCTCATGCATTCCCTCTGCCATGACCTTCACTGCTTTTTTCTTTTTATTTTCTAAGTCCATCACTTTTTCTCATGAGATTCTACATTTGATTGAGACTAGTGAATATATATGTCATATTTACAACTATGTATAACCCTAAGTAGCAGAGAATTTGACTCATAGTGGGCATATTAGTCATTTTTTATTGGTTATAATCTATTCATCTATTACCTATTTATTAGAAGCTGCTGAATGCATAATTGAGTTAATTATCTTGTCAAAAATAGTAGTATTTATTTATCCAAGAGGTAAACACTGATTGCACACCTACTATATTCAAGGCATTGTTCCATTGACTGGGCATACTAAAATGTTCAAGACAAATAAAACCCTAGCTTGCCTATATTTGACATGAATAAATCATTCATAAATGAGTACATTATGTACTGAATACAAGAGTATCTTTAAAAATATTTCTGTGTAACATATTAAATAAACTCAACAATGTATAATGGTTCAAGCATGATAGGCGTGTATTTCTTACTCATGTAAATTACAAAAAGGATGTCTTTTTACAATGAGTGTCTTCTCTGCCAAGAGGTGATTCAAGAACTAAAACGTCCCCCATTTTTTACCTTAGTATCTTCAGCATGTGGCTGCCAAAGTCAAAGTTATGTCACCCACTTGGTAGAAAAGGATGTGACATGGAATTTCAAGTGTGGAAGTTTTGATATCATTATTTATTTCATGACACATTTCTTACAGCATTTCCAGAAGTCAATAATGGATTAAAAATGTAGATAGCTACAGAATTAACAGTAACTTTTAAGTTTGGTCTCCAAAAAAACTTTTAGAAACTAATGAAAGATGGTATAATAAATGAATGAAATTGGAAGAGGGGAGAAGAAAGGATCAATGTAATGTCTCCTTAACACACATTTCT